CCCCAGCCAGCATGGCTGGCTGGGGAATTCTGGGAGTTGACTTCCACCCCTCTTCAACTTGCCAAGGTTGAGAAACACTGCCTTAAAGGTAGGGTTTTAAGAGACAGAAGTATGCAGTCCTCCTAGGACAGAATTCCTATCACGTGGTGAGGATGGACTCCTTACAGGAACTCCTAGAAGTTACCCAAGAGCACCATCTTCCTTCCATTAATGGGGTCTGCATCTTCCACTGCTTTGCTTTACCTCTTTTCCCTTTTTATCCAAGATACTTGGCTCGTAACCCAGGCATCCCACCATAAACTGGCAGCTCTGAAGCCACTGCGACAATTCAAGGTCTGTTCTGCAGGTGGATGGTACAGATCGCATCTGATACCTTTCCACTTATTTGGTCAATCAACAAAATGAAATGGGAGTTGGTACTGTCCTGAAACTCACGCTGAAACTGTGGCATCAGTACATTTCCTGTAGATTGGTAATTGATATGGTGGGAAGGGGAGGTTAACAATATCCTGGCGAATGAGCCAGGCCAGGAGATCATCCCCCAAATAGAAGTTGCACGAAGGGAGCCATGAATTTGATTATTCAGGTGCAGATAGAGAATAATTATTTATAAAACCATTTTCAAAATTAAGCTGAAATCTAACTACAGATTTCTAGAATATAGAAATGACTATAGTTAATTATAGTTATATTATTATAACTATAATATTATAGTTAGAAATCTAACTATAGATTTCTTAGCTATCTATCTCGCTTAACTATGGTAATTGGGACCAACAACTCTGTCACTAAGCGACATGGTCATAAAGTGCAACATCGCATGACTGCACCAATTTATGACAGCAGTTGCAGCAGTGCCAGTTGCCATTGTTAGGCGAATCCCATATGGTCGCAGCATCCTGCAGTCACGTGATCATCCTTTGTGACCTCCTGCCAGCTTCCCATTGACTTTGCTTGTCAGAAGCTGGCAATGAAGGTCACAAATGACGACCATGTGATTGCGGGACACTGCAACTATCATAATTGCAAGCTGGTTGCCAAGTGCCCAAATTGTAATCATGTGACCATGGGGACGCTACGATGGCCGCAATTACAAGGATCCATTGTAAGTCCCCCTCATTCAGCACCATTATAACTTCAAACAATCACTGAATTGTTTGTCATTCAGTGGGGACTACCTGTAGGTAGTTTGCAGCCTGAATGGTCCTGGGCATAAATAATCTGAAGGCCTATGATGATGATTTGCTTAATGATCAAATCGCTTAGCAACCTAAATTCCAGTCCCAATTATGGTTGTTAAGCGAGGACAACCTGTAAGTAGTAGTCTTAAGTAAGTGTCTTACCTAAGCAGCTATTAACATATTGGATTTTAAAAATTTAATCCAGGGAAAATCTGATCCAGGTGTAAAAGAAAAAGGGGAGATCTCCTTTGGGGCTCAAACATGACTTTTGATTCCCCACCAAATTCTAGACTTTGGTACAAGTCAGGCAGTTCTTTACCTTGAAGAGATTGATGTTGTCAACTTGACATTGGAACAGAAAGTCATTGATGGATTTCAGTTGTACCCCTTAGAGAGAATGGGAAAAAGAAAAAAAAACTGGTTTGCTTACACCAGATACAGACAAATTGTTCAGTTCAGTTCAGTCTTCTTAACACCATGCTGGCCAAACCATGCCAATTTACACATTTTCTGGAATCACACCCACAACCTACCTGCTTCTGGTATGGTCTGCTTATTTGGATTCTGATTTACATTTCCTGGAGAACATAAAAAGCAGAGCAAAAATTAACAAATTATTTCCAAGTGTGACAATCTGGGCTAAACTACGTATCACCATGGACTAAACAATGTATCACTATGGGATAAACTATATTACCAGGGCACATCTCCAAGCCTCACCAGACAAGGGAATCCTCAATCTTCCTCTCCCAGGCACTCATTTTGCAAACATTTCCCCCTTTTCACTCCACACAGGAACTTCTTTTTAAAAAATGTTCTACTGGCTCCAATGAAGAATTTTGCAAAGCAAACGGGAAGGTTTTGATAAGAAACGGACCTATATGTGCTTGTATTAGTGCCAGCAAAAATAACAGGGCAACTGCAATGCTACATATTTAACACATCATTTAGTTTACCTCCACAGAAACCTTAATGCCCCCCCCCCCAAAAAGCCATGGTTTCACACAAGACTCTTAACTTGGTTGCTGAACTAATCCATGTTCCAGATTTACATAATACACTGACTCATCAGCTATCAAACAGGCTGAGTTCACACCAGAAAAAGAAAAAACAAAGGAAGTTTAACAGGGCATGTAAAAATGAACCAGTAGGTCTTTATCTGACTTAGTTAAGCATGTTATGTGAATCCAGCCATAGTCTAAATCATCTGTAAGTTTTTGGCCAGCAAGCAACTATACGACCAAAAGATGGGCTTTTAGTTTTTAGTCTTTTTTGTAATATAACGTTATCCCCTAAGAGGGACATATTCTTTTTCTGCTATGTTAATTCAAGCTTATATCTCAAATAGTTTCCAATTTGCTTCTAATTACATTTATTGCATTGGTACATGCATTTAAAAAAAATTAAACAAGCAATTTAGAATTTGAGTACATTAAGCTGGTAGCAATATCTGTAAATATGCAACGCTAATGCAATTATAAAGCATCTATCCAAAGCAGAAGTATACACCTGAGGAAAAATATGCGTCCCAAGGCAAACAGTAATTCCATTACAGCACTGCTTAAAATCAAAATTTCATCCTTCACTTGCTGTGTGCTTACATCTCTTCTATTTGGGATGAGCAATATTGGAAACTGACAAAGAATTGCGGGAGAAGTTAAAGATGGTAATGATCAAAGGAAGATCGGCTTGGGGGAAAGAGATGAAACAGGATTGCTGAAGCCCTGTTCTATTTTTCTAGGATCTATTGTGTTTCCTAAAGACAAGGCATTGCAAAGCTCACAGAATGATATCCCTGCAGTCCGTATAATGTGAAATTAACTAATGTTACCTTCCTTGATGTAAGCCTACCATATGATGCAATGGAACTGAGCTTGATAAGACATTCCACCACAGAAGTAGCACTACTGGGAAGATATCACCCCACAGAACTTAAGAGGCAAGAACTCTGTCCTTACCTCCAAGAACAGCCACAAACTTCTCCAGCAAAAACAAAATCTGCTTAATGTACATCAGATTCTTAGCTTTCAAGCATTTCCTAAGACAGATCAGATGATATATGAATGCACAAGGGTAACACAACACAAGATAGCCAAGCTGAGCTTATAACTGTTAAAGCCCATGGAGAGAATTAGGTGAATGGTGAGGAATGAATAAACATATATAGCCAAGTGTTGCTGGCATTTCAGTATCTTTGCTGGAGAAGAGCTTCTTCAGCAAAAGCATCCACGATCAACTCTCTGCTATGAAAGGTCTAAGAAGATAAGCTTTGCATCAGAACATCCCTACTGTCTAGACCAGGTCTGCACAGCTTACAGAGGGGAAAGAGCCACATGGAAACCTTAAAAATAATTGTGGGCCACAAAGGAATAACTGGCATGCCAATCAGCTGTTCAGTGGCTCGTGATGTGGCAGCAGTGCTGGAGCCGGTAGTGATGGTAAGGCCTGGAGACACTGGAGGTGTTTGGCAAGCATGTCTTTCAGGGCAGAGGTGGCTGTGAAAAACTAGGTGGTGGCAAATCCTTCCTGGCGGCCATCAGGTTTAGGGACAGTGGATCTGTTAAGTTTTCAGAAAACGTCGGCAGACTACACAAGGCTGTTTGGCAGGCTGTATGCAGCCCATGGGCTATACTGTATGTTGTGCAGGTCCAGTCCGGACTATAAAGTTACTTGCTACATGTGTTTCTCCTCCTCTCCATCTAAGAGTGGAAAGTTAGAAGTTCCCAGGTAGTTTGCAGCAAACCTTAATCTGCCATTGTATGCAAACATGGCAAACACACATCTCCACAAACCAGAATTTCAAGCCATAAACCCTCACCTGTATCGTTCCATGTACTGCCATAGTTGAGAATGGGCGCAGCACAGCTAAAACGGAAATAAAACATAAGACAATCACGAGGCCTATCTAATCCAGCATCGTTTCGCCACAAAGGCGTCTGAGAAGGTCACAAGCAAGACGTGTAGTGAGATCATTCCATTTGTGTACTATGTTAACCAGCATTCAGGGACATCCCATCTTGGAGACTGGAAGTAATTTAGTCTCTTACAAAAGCCTGATACAGATAGCAGTGCGCAGAGACCACAAAAAGAAACCTGCAGGTATTAGAAGAAAGGCCCTCAGGCCTGACTCACCTGTGAGCCCGTCACCTGGGTGCTGTAGATGGAAGCAATGGTATCTATCAGATTGTGAGCTTCATCAATGATCACTACCTGATCCTTCAGCTGGATCCCAGATGCATTTCGAGTAGCTTCATGCAGAAGCATTTGGTATGGCAGCACTACCAACTGTGGGTCAGGCAGAGGTGTTAATTAAATGGGGAGTCCACCAGTCTGACCTTTATCAATTGCAGATCAGATTTCTGGGAACCCAGAGCACGTTTATACATTGTTTTTTTATGACATGTAGAGTATGAGTGAATGGGGACTTATTTGTTTAATCTTACTTGGTAGATTTATATTTCACCTTTTCTCTAGAACAGTGTTTCTCAAACTTGGCAACTTGAAGAGGGGTGGACTTCAACTCCCAGAATTCCCCAGCCCCCCTGCCTGCCCGGGGGATTTTTGGGTGTTGGGGCACAACATCTTCAAGCTGCCAAGGTTGAGAAACACTGCTCTAGGAGTTCAAAGTGGCATATATAACTCTCCTTCTCCTCTTCCTCCAATCGTTCCCCACAGCAGCAATTCTACAAAGTAGGTTGAGCTGGGAAATAATGACTGGCTCAAAATCACCCAGAGTTTCCTTGGCTAAAGACAGCCTTGAATCTAGTCCACCAGCTTAATCACTACACCATGCTGGGCTTGCAAATATTTATTTTTAATTTATTTATTTATCGGATTTGTCACTGCCCATCTTGTTAAACGACTCTGGACGGTTTACGAAACAATTAAAATCAATTAAAATTACAATATTATAATAATAAATACAAAATAAAAAGATCCAGAACAACTGGCGATCACTCAGGGAGTGTCATCAAGGTGCTCCGCACCCCCAGGATTGGGTAGAGTTGTTATCCCCCCACGCAAGCTGGCAGAGCCAGGTCTTCA